ACCATATGAACAGTTTGAAAGAATGAATAATTAATGTGGAGGTGTAAATTAACGAAAAGCTTGTAGCAGTACGAATTACGAGCACTCGAAACGTGTTTGGATGGATACGAAAACGAAGAAAATACTGCTCTCATCAGATTCATTCAATGCGATACATGTTCGTTATCATTATTATCGTTATTACTTTATACTCATAGCATTCCTTTATTATTCTACTACTTTATTTGACGTAAAAACGTTGACTGAACTAGCTTCTGTATAGGAATGTGCGATTTTTAAAAGTGTACCAACAGAATTCCAAAACACCCAACTAGCGGATAAAACTATCGAACGACAGAATGCGGACGAGAAATTTTTTCCATTTCAGGATATGTGAGAAAAAATTTCAAATTTCAATTCCAGGTTACGGGAAAAATAAATTTTCAGGAAGCGTTATCACCATTGGCGCTTGCGGCGTTGGATCGAATCAGCTGTTTGTGTGTGATAAAGCAACTGGAAGCGTTTGTGAATCAAACGAAAAAATTACAATCGAACCACGAAGCGGCGTTATCGGATCTGAGTGTACTGTTGAATGATTACAAGTTATCGAAACACCAAAAGTCGATGTCGTCGAAGGCGTTCGATGTGGCTTATGCTCGTATCGCACCGATTTCGTCGCCTTTAATCGTCACCTTATCGAAGGTCATTTAGTGCTCTTTGCAAGTGTATCTGACTGATGTGATCATATCACGATTCGGAAGTTCTTCGTATGTAATTCAACGGAAAATAAGCCACGGCGCTGAGATTTCATGATCACTTATGATTTTGAACGTCGCTTTAGTGCGGCAAGCTTTCGATGCATTTGGTTTAATTTCGCCCACTTGTGAAACCCAAATCGCAATTGTGGATTTGCAATAACTATCAAAAATCAGGACTGAATTGAGCTTAGTCGCTGGTTCAACTGAAACTGCTTTTACACATCGCCGCCAACGAGGCTAACCTTGGAGGCTGATATTATGGTGGCGATAGATGGTAGTTGTTGTGCGTGATGTTCCAATGAAATTGATATGATCACGAATGTTGAGAGCTTCTGAATAGAATGAATGAAAGTTTTGACTTCAGATCGGTCAATTGCAATTGATTCGTCAACAGATTTGTTTCGTGACGAAAACGACGGTGATGTGTCGTGCACAGAACATATTCAGTGCGGTCGCCAATCTTAATGAGTAATCTCTTTTGTTCTTATAACCAACTTTTTTTGCTTCCATCATATCAGTAGTTCTGATAAGTATAATGATAATCATATAATTTGATGATGAATCCAGAAGTGTGTTGAATGATTTACGCAGTGGAAATGCAAAACTGGACGATGGTGAATTGATGGTTGAATTAAGCGAATTGCTGCAAAGGTGTGCGATCACGAATCCTCTACATAAGGTTATTGTTGATTCTTGATTCATCGTTATCACCATGACCGTGGTTATCATTGTTGTCATAATTATTTCATATCAGTTTCATCGTTGTATATTTACCATCATTATTCAATAGTTCCGATTGGTAATTCGGATGTTTCGAACGAGAATCATTTGATTGGTTCAACTTTCATTATTTTAAGCGATGCCGTATGTCTGTTGGTTGCATTGGGTTGATAGAATGAATCCGTTTCAGATATATATGAAACGAGAGACACCTCAGTTGACTGTGCAGTTGCTCTTCACACTTCTATTAACGGCAATACCAAAATTTAACGGTATTTTGCGAACAAATTAATTCATTTTGAATTATTCTTTATAACTGATTAATCAGCGACGAGAATAATGAAGAAGTGGTTGCAATTGCAGCGACGAAACGATCAGATTGCACTGATGTACACGCATTTTCGGCTGGTGTTGCGTGCACACTGAGACAATTCAACGCGCTCGATGATTTCATATCGATGGCTGTGATCTTCGTCAATTCATTGATTTTATCGAGCAAAAACATTCAAAAATCATTTCCATCATTGAACATCATCAATTTTGTTCGATTGATTGCAAATTATTGCTCAGTTTCGAGTGAGGTTCGTTGTTTTTTAGTTTGCATTAATGATAAATTTTATTTTATGCAAATTTCCACGTCAGTTTCATTTGTTTTCTTCGCATTCCGATTCCCTTTTTTACTCTTTTCACGAGATTTTAAATATCGACAGTTATTCGTCATTTCAGGAAGTTGACAAACGTTTTGATGTTGTTTCATTCGGTGTTGCTGATAAGGTGTAGGGTTTGGAACGGTATCGAGTGGTGAAAAAGTCTAAATTCATTTTAATCAGTTGGAAATGTGATGCTTGCGAATGTTCGTGATCGATGATGAGTAATAAATGTTGTGAATTGTTCTGAATTTTTAACGATTTTGTTGATAATTTGGAATTCGGACAAATTATCAATTATTACAATGTATAAATGTGTAACGTGAATAAACTGGTAAAGAGTCCAGCTGATTTCGTGTTGTTTACGGCTAATTTTCTTAAATTAATAATAAGAGAGTTGTTTTTAAGTTAATGATGTCGTGATGAAGAGTGAGGTTCGTTAGTTTTCACTGGTTTCTGAACATCCGAAATTGCATTCCCACTCAATCAGTCCGGAATTTTGTACCGACTTCCTCACATCAATTAAATTTCAAGTCACGGGTTGCAACAACTGGGCCAAAAGACACACACAATCAGTCCAGTGTCGTTAAACAAGAACGGAAAACTCCGGGTCGAACCGGCCGCAAGTGGGCTTTTGACGGCAAATCAAAAGATTAAGGGTCTAGTATGGACGACATAGTCAGTTAATTAGAAAAGTGATAATAAGTGGGTGTTCGGGGATATGATTTCATTAAAAGTAAATACGCAAACAAAAATTAAATTTAAAAAAAAGAAATAGAACAAATGTGGGTGAATAAATAAAAACTGAAATTTTCTCGCGCCCAGGCTTAATACGGTCACAATCGCTAACTTCCAAACACACCTAACTGACCAATCAGCGCGTGAGAGCGCTTTTCTTAAGATTACTGTAAGCATAACTTAAGATCCTCGCAAACATACCGTATCCATCTTTCAGACAAAACAATATTGTCAGTGTTACGAATGGGCAATTGAAGCCATTTTTAGATGCTGTGGGGGATTTTGTTTTCAGCAAGGCTGAGACCACCGTACACACTTCACAATGACCAATCAGCGAGAGCGCTATTATCAAGATTACTGTAGGCATATCTTATGATGACCTTAAATATTCTGCATTGCTCCTTCCGACAAAATAGTAATACCAGTGTTGGTGAATGGACAATTAAAGCTATTTATAGAGTCCATGGGGGATTTTGTTTTCAGCGAGGCTAAGACCGGTAAATATGCTGCAACTCATAAGAGGTACGGCCACATAACTTTATGAACTCACTCGCTGATCGTGCAACTTTGCAAACAAACGTCAGCAATCACAAATGATACTTTGACATAGCTCAAAAGGAATTTGAATGAAGAAATATCCATAGCAATTCTCTCATCTTCAAACCATACCAAACCTGCATCTATTACAATAAATTTACATTGTATACAGATTTTCAATTTACATATGGGTAATACCATGAATTAGCATACAAATTTTCTATATAAGAGAAGTATAATCGAGCTGAAACCATTGTGGTTGGTTGTCCAAACGGTTTCCGGATTATCGTCCGGTTGTATCCTCCCAGATGTGCGGCAAAATGATCGTACAGATCATTACGAGTTTATGCATTGCGGCGATCGCTAATGCCGCTTACATTAGCTTCATTAATATGCCGGCGTACAGAATGGTATTTCAATCTAATATTTGGTTTTTGCCAATATTTGGGTCTGACGTCCTAACGTTTCGTAGTCCTGGTGAATCTTTTCGCATCACATTCGGTGCGCTGTATGTTCCTACTGTGCGGATATCCGTAAAAGTGATAAACAGACAATTGAAATTTGGCAGCCCAAAATTACTGTCAAAGACAGCCGAACAAACGATTTGACATACTGACTGATAAGACTGATACCTTTGAAGGAGAAGCGAGGTGGTGCGTTGACCTCAAAAGTCTCTCACCCGTTGAAGCCTGGGCAAATGCTCTTGGTTTATGGACGGATGAATCACGATACGACAAGGTTTTGTGTGCTCTGGCGAAGTTGCTTTTCTTTTGGTCGATTCATCTTGTACATCTATCTGCATGATCTTTGGCTTACTCGTAAACCTTAACAATTCCTCATTAACAAACTTGTTGCTGTGAATAATCAGTATTGCTTTATCGAGTCGAAATTTATCTTTAGTTGAATGACACCATTTCATATAGAACAGCGATTCACTGTCAGTTCCACATTTGTCAAACAACTGCAGTGATGATATAAACGATTGCAGAATGGGTGTGAATCTTATGCGTGGTGCAGAACTCTTAGAAGAACCAGGAGCCGAAGCAGTGTTTCATTTGGATGTTCGATTTTCTGAGGCCCGAATCATCATGAATACGCTGGTTCGTCAACTTGATGATTTCACAGCACCGCATCGTTTATTTACTGGACAGAGACCGTAAATTGTGTTTGATTTGAAAAATTCACTGTGACTGAATTGAACGATCACATTTGAGCACAATCACTCAGTTCGATACTATGGAATGTATCGTTAATTGGTCTGAAAAACACTAGAAATAGCTTGTTACTCAACACAACACAGATCAGAAGCTATGCTTGAATGCAGTCATTTGAATAGGATGTGCGCTATATTGTGCTCATATTGTGATCACGAAATAATTCGTTTATAGACTCAATCATGGGGCCGAGAAGAAAGAGTACGGAATCCATTCAAGAAGGGCATGGACTTCCATCTTATAATTCGTGCAAATGGGGACATATTCGAGATATGGGCGAACCACCGAAGGATTTACAAATTCCGGATGCGTCTTCCACTCAGTTCAGTCGAATACGTGACTGTGACTGGTGACGCCACGGTGAAGGGAGTGTCCTGGTCTGGTCCTGAGCCGATAGCTCTTCCGCTTATAACTGAGGTCGGAGGTGGTCATTTTTTGAGTGGTGAGTGGTTCAGTGATGTTTTTATTTGTTTGTCTCTTTTGGTTGCACGGATTGCTGTGGACAAATCATCAACTTCGTAGATCAGTTTATCACATCTGAATATTAATCCTGGAATTGAAGAAAGCAGCAGCAAATACACTTCCTACGTCTTTCAGTTCTTAGTTACTGATTGTGGAGTGAATAAACATGAAGAATACAAATTGAACATTGATTCACATAAGAACCTTTCAAGAATTCATCACCTCCAGTGAATTACGATTAGAATTAGCATGTGAAAAAAGGATTATCGCTCATTTGATATTCGACAATTGAGAATATCAAATGGGGATAGCAACTGATCATAATCGTTCAGGAGGACGCTTTACCGTTTACGGTAAACCCAATGGGGGGAATTTCGAGGTTAACTTGCTTGCAAAGAACGACGATATTCTGTTCCATTTCAAAGCTCGCTTTGACCGACACAACGTATGGTTTTGACTATTCTCTGCAATAAAATGAGATTGATATTGAATCCTTTTGCCAGTAGTGATGGAATCTTCACAGTGAAATTCATTTATTAAGACGAGGAACGGCGTGCTCCAGTAAAAGACTAAACGCTGACGCGGATATGTTAGGGTCACCAAAAAACGTTTTTGAGCAAAAAGCTGAATTCACTAATTGCAAAAATGCATTATTGACCTGCTTGTGCCGAGCAAATTGAGTTTGTTACATGTTTCATTGCTTTTCTGATTTCCAGATGGAAATGACACTGTTTAACTGCAATAATAAGAAATTCAGATTGTGTTAAATGCGAAAGTTGGTGGAACATGGGGAGCATGGGGACCAGAGGAGCTTGGAGAGGGGTTCCCATTCAAGAAGGACGTTATCTTCGATCTTACATTCCTTAATGCACCTGAATCTATCCAGGTTTATTCGTTTTTGTTCCTCTACTTAAGCAAAACGAATTCTAAAATGAACGACAACCGTTCCATACGAATGTTATAAGTTTCGGCAATTTCTGACGGTTCTTTCTGCGTTCAGATAAATCATTCCATTCGACCGTTCGTTCAGAAGGGCATTCGAACTTATGATATTAATTGTAACAGGTATTCTTCGGTGGGGAACGTATTGGCACATT